ACGTGAAGTAATTCTGATAGAGGTGGCATCACTGGTCAGGACAGGTTGATAGCAGTCGAGACTGAGTAAAAGCGAAAGTACAGTTTACTGGCTAATAAACTCGGGGCAGAGATTAAATGCAGGACGAAATTAATTCAGAACGAAATCAATTAATTCCAATTATTATAGATCATAACTTCAAAGTTTTTGGTTCATAAGTATTTAAAATATCTTTGTATTTCTCATTTCATTATTAAACTGTAGTTTTTAAAACTGCATGAGAATAATTTCATGTACCTATTATATTCAACTTGAATGTCAATATATTTATATCTAGTCTAATTTTTATTAATGCACATATTATAAGCAGGGCTGCAATAAAATTCTAATGAATAAGATTTTAAATTAATTGCTCTGATCTACTTAAAAAATATAAGTTTAACATATATATATAATAATGAATGATTACATGAAAAGAAAATAAATTCCAATTACCTCAGATGTTTCATTTTCCTGTTTAGTAAGCAAATTGTTGGCATCATTCAGCATTTTTTGCAATTCATTATTTGCATTTTTCGCAGCTGATAATCGTTCTTCAACTGTTGTCGCACCGCTCTTAACCATTTCTAACTGATCCATAAGCTTCTGTTTCTCACTTTCTATTTCAGAAATTTTTTGCTGAAAACTATCATATTCGTCGTTTTCTTTCATCATTTTTTCCTCGAGCAGTACCATTTGTTTTTGCATTTTTTCAATCATTTCACGCATTTTTGTACGTTTCAATCTTGGTCGTATATGGCCATACATTTGATACCAAGCATCTTCATAATTTTTTTGCCAGTGACGGATATTTTTTTGCAAAATTTTGATGCACTCCATGTTTTTAGTTTTTCTGTTTAAGGCAATCTAAAAACTAATTATGTGATTATCTTCGCTAAAAATTATTTATTATAATTTATTTATCATTGATAATTGTTAATATCAAATTATAAAATAGTATCATTACTGATTGCCTCAAGTAGTTTCGTATTATATTTTCATCATATATGTTAGATATATGTGTTAAAAATAAAAATTTCTCAGTATTGAGCTAAAATGATTAACTATGAAAGCTTTACTCTGTGTGTTACTTCAGAAATTGTTGGCAACAAACCGATTGCAGATAATAACGAATTTCAGCTTGCAGTTTAATCACACAAATGTTGATTTTCTCGTTTTCACCAATGCTTTCTATTCTTTCTTCCATTATTATTGCAGAAGCTACTAAAAGCAGCAAATATCTGTAACGAATACAAAGTTCAAATAATTGTAGTTTTCAAATGAATGATCCTAAAACTTAAATGTTTTCAAAAATATGTTAAAACTATGATTGAATAGTCCGTCAAGTTCAAGTCTTTCCAATGTAAAGTAATGAAAAATTGCCTGCAAAATTTATTTATTTAATTTGTTTTTTGGTTTTGAACACTAAGAAAATTTCAACACTAATTGTTTATTTTTGATTAACAAATCATTGTGCACACATCAAAAAATAATTTTTAAAAAAATTTGAAAAAATAGAAAAAAAATTGTGAATTTGGTTATAAGTGCATGAAACAATTTTTGGAAAATTCAGAAGCTACGGAAGATTTTATGCTATATCGAATTTTTGCTTATTGTAATAAATATAGAATGAAAAATACTCAAACAATTACGGTTTTGTTATTAACAAATTTGTATTAAAATTTACAATTGTAGAAATATAGCATGTCAAAATAAAATTAAAGGAACTGTAAACATTGTATTTTGTTAGAGGAAAATTAAAGTTCCATTATTAAGCTATTTTTCCATTTTTGCATGCGTTTGCGATTAATATTTTATCAAATTTAAGAAGCATTGTTAGGTCAAAAGTTTATCACATAAACGATACTTTCGGTGATAAAAGCAAAAAGTACGCAATTCTAATTTTATATGTAAAAATGAAGCAAAGAGATTGCAACTTGAAGAAAAGTATTGTCACTAAACTAAAAGTTTATTGAATATATCCTTCTCAAATACTCTCTAACTTTAAGTATTTTAGAGAAAATCCGGAAATTTCGATTTGTTTTTACAGTTCCATCAATGATTTCAATCATATGAATGTTATGTGTTCAGTCAACATTTTTGTCTTTACTTTTAGAATTTGTTTGTTCAATATTCTACTTCTTTACTGTCATTTTCGCTCTGTAATTTTGTTTTCTATTCAATGTCAAGCATTTATTTAAACTTGTGAGTAATATAATCGTTCGTACAGTATATTCTTCAATAACTAAATTTATTTGCCATAAGAAATAAAGATTTCTTGCATTGCCAATATCACTGTTCGCCTTTGATGAATAGCTGTTAATTAGAAATTTTTACACAGATATTATCAAATTAGTATTTTTATTATAATTATATTCTGCAAATGCAATTTTTTTCTATGAAATCTTTTTATATTCTATTATTATTCTATTTCAGTTTATTTTTCCTGCTTTTTTTCATTTAAACTTTTTATGCATTTTTTGATGAAAAATTATGAATATTTTCATATTATATTGATTTTTATTCGTTAATTAGGATAGAGAAGTTCACTGAATACTAAGATAAAAAATGTTGCGATGATAAAAGTTTTTTTGTAAATGGATATTATTAATTTTAAATTTATGCCACTTTTTTATGCAGAAATATTAATAACATTTTTCAGAACTTTGATCATTTTGCACTAAATTATTAAACTCGTGATAATTTGTTTTTTTTTACCAACATAAAATTAATGCAAAAAATTGATGGAAAAGTAGTTCTTAAGATTAATACAAATCTTTTATCAGTAAAACAAAATAATGGGCAAAACTTTTTGATTATTTAGACTGAAAAAAAATAGAATCAGAATTATGGCAGTGCAATTAAATACTGTAAGTATAATACATTCAGAACTATCATTAATTGTTCAATCAAATTTATTTTTTTAAAATATTCTGTTGCAAATTTTATTTCATTATCATTTCTAAATGTTATGTTTTTAATAACGTTCAAAACTACAATTTGAGCAAAAAGTGTACTGTTCTATATTAAAAACCACATTCTAAAAATATTGAATATAGCAATAATCTTATCATATCAGTTACATTAGCATTCTTCGAATAGTATTTAAATTTTCTGATATTCGGTACGATTGGAGCCATAATTTTGATGGTTCCTGCAATTTAAATGAAAAAAATACATAATTTAACAATTACAGCAGTTTGTTATTAATCCCAAAGAATCAACCAAATAATTTTTTTTCATTCATTTACAGGTTTTTTCTTTTTGCATTAATATATTAGTGTTTAATTCTGAAATAACAACACATTTATTCTTTTCATTTTATCAAAAATCCTTTTTCTTTGGCCATAGAGTTGCACAAATATTTACACTGGTACTTCAATCGGATCCAAAGCTCTTAAGATAATGCTCTTTTCAAGAATCTATTGCCCAGCTATTTGCAAAAATTGAATAGCGATTTTTGTCACTGTCATTCACTGTAAAGTATAGAAGACAGAATTAGATGTTTGGATTAAGTTTTCAGTAATTTTATTTGTAGTCAAAGATTATAAAAGTAGCATTATTATGTAAACAATTTAACTGTTCCTAACAGACGAATTTTTGATATCACACTATCTAAATTTCATTGTTAAAAAGCGTCAAAGAAAGTTGCAGTAAAAAACTGATTAAAAATTTGACTTTATATTTTGTTAATCATGTAAAGTTATTTTTTAAGAAAGTTTTATAATTTTTTGCTAAAATTGTACATATGATGGCAGTTATATAATTTGCATGATTACAATCACGTGTCGAAAATATCAAAAATTTTTATCACTAAAACAAATGATAAAATAAGTCATAACAATATGATATATCAGTGTTTTCTTGAGGACAGATAAATAATGAAAACAATACTTGGAGGATGTAAGCAAAAAATACTGCGTTATTTTTTAATGGTATTCATCATGTTTTCTTAAATCCTAATTTATTTGCGTCTGTATTTCTTTTTGAGCTGATTAAATTGTTGCAAAAAATTATGTAACAGATTTAACATACATGTTAAAACTTTGACGAATTGTCTGACGTAAAATCATATAATCATCAGGTTCAGTGATTTTACGCTGTGCCTTACTTTTACGATTACGGTTCTTTCTTGCTGAAGCTGTTGAATATTTTGGTGATAAGGTTTCAAGATATTGAAATGATGTTGTGCTGGTTTTTTGATGTGCTACTTGTTTGGAATAACAAAAACTGCTTAAACCATGGTTTCGTCGCGCAGGTCGATATGATTCATCAGTATGATGCTTACAAATAGCTTGCAAAGCTTGTTTAAATCCTGGTATACCGTAAGCGTAAATTAATGGATTTACTGCACAAGAAACATGCGATAGTACTACAGCACTTAAAGTTATATTTGGATATGAACGTAATTCCGGAAAAAATAAATTAATAGTATTTAAAGTGTGCAATGGGTACCAACAAATGCCATATGTTGATACCAATAATGACATTGTAGAAATTAATTTACGTCTACTACGTACCCGTCGTTCACGTTCACGATCACGTAACAAAAATTTAATCCGATATTCTTCATCTTGAATATAACTATATATCCTCGCATAGCAGTAAATAATAATAAAAGTTGGCAAAACAATGGTACCAAAGAAGATTACGTACACTAAATAACGATAATCGACAACTTCAGTAAAATAGCACTCTCCAGAGAAGCGATCATAACTTTGACGGAAGTCACTAAACCATAATAACTGTACCATCAATACTAAAGCACCAGATATCCATGCACCAGCAATAAGTACGATAGCGCGCTGATAACGATGAGATTGTTTCATGATTTGACTTTTACAGCAAATACTGATGTATTTATCGAGAGCAATTGCTAATAGATGGAAAATAGAAATTGTACAAAGGGTACAAAGAGTTGAATGTATTGCTAAGCAGGGTAAAAATGAATGTGGTGCACGTGTTAGCACTGAATAAACTGTTAATGGAATTCCGATACTACCAATGAGGAAATCCGTTAAAGCCAGAAAAAATATATAGGTATTAGTTATAGTACGAAGATGTTGTGAACCAAGGTAAAGCCATAGAACGATTAAATTAGACACGGAAATATGAACCGATAAAACTATTTCCGCAGTTGCATAAATTTTCACTGCCGTCACCATTGTAAACGCAATTATCAGTCTCTTGAATTATTCGTTAACAAAAATTACCGTAATAATCATTCAATAAATGGCAAATGAATTTTGACCCAATTGTTTTTAATATCAACATATTTTGATCTCAATATGTTATTCCAGAATCATTCATCGATCAAATACAAACAATTTTTGATTATTTTTTGTTGTTGTAAGAGAATTAATGCTATCATTGAGTTAAATTTAAACAAACATGTAATATGATAAAATGAAATGCAGTGATTAAATTATAATATTTGTGATAGAACGTTGGAAAAATAAGATCACAGTGGTATTTAAGTTTTAATCAATGATGATGGCTTTGAATTTGAATGTTTTGAACTAATATTATGATTGGCTAACTGAATCCATAGTTGAAACATAGCAGCTAAAGGAATAATACACCAGATCAAATTGGGAATCCAGAAAATAAGCAATCTTTTCCAAAAGCCTGCTGATTCTGCTAAATAACTTATTGTTCCTGCAATGATAATGATTAAATTTATTACTGCTAGAATTTAGATAATAAAAAAGGAAAAATTTTTGAAAACATAGCCACTCATTTTTGTGGTCAACAAGCAAAAGGATCAAAAGTATAATTTATAAAATTCTTACGCTATGAATAATAAAAGACATGCGTTGAAAAGAAAAGACTTCTCTATTTTATTCGGTTTTAACATTTACAAAAAATAATTTGAAAAGTATGTGGTGCACAACTCACTCATTTGTAGTTATAATAAAGGTAAATTAAAAACTTAATAAAAAATTGAAATTAATAGATTAGCTAGCGGTCGTTCTACATTTAAAAATACTTAACATACTTCAATTGGTTACATTTTTAAATTGCTTCAATTAGTTTTGTTTCAAATTATTAGTCTCATTTTTTCCCTTCACTTTTTTGTTACCAAACTAACCAAAATGAACTGAAAATTTTGAGTACTTTTACACATTATGCACAACTCTCCAATTAATAGTGCTGAAGTGCAAAGTTTTCAAATTTTACAGACTTTGTGTGAAATTTAATAGCCACAAATTATTGATAGAACCATTATACGGTAGTCTTATTCATTAATCCTAAAATAAACTTTATGATATATCATCAAGAAAGTAAACGTTGAATATCATTTATGTATCAAAGTTATTAGTGATGAAGATAATTCAAATCATTATCATTATCACATTGTACACTTCATTGCAGCTATATTATTTCCAAAATTTTAAAGTCTTGCAAAAAATATAATAGTTTCTAATAATTAGACTTTAAGTAGCATAAAAACTTTATGCATTGAAAAGTTCATCTCATAACATCTAGAAAAATCACTACAAAACTATATAATAAATTGACTTGAAAATTCTTTAAAAAATAATATGTAAATAAAAGATTAAGTCTGTGTGAAAAATTAACATTTATTTTGCATAATTTATTGGTCGATGGTTATGTGCAATAATGAAATTGAGCACCAAACAAAGTTTGTCAAATAATGTAATTTATTTTCAAACTGAAAATAAATAATGATAAATACGTGAAATTATTTATCAATAAATTGTAAATTCTCAAATTATGCAAAACAAATGGTTGAAATTTTTTGTTGGTTGAACTTAATTCCGGTTGAAAATTTGTTTGGAAGAATTTTCCAACGTCATTTTTATTAATAGCACAATTGTGAATTAACCTGCAATTTAAAATATGAAATGATTTTATAATATTTGGAATAGAAAAATCGAAGATGTTTTTGAGATCAGTTAGTAAGAAATTTTAAGTGTGATTAAGCTTAGCTAGGCTTAAGACTTGTTAAGATAATATTTAAAAGCTTTCTGTAGCCACCTGAAGAGTCACTTTCAATTAAACAATCCAGTTACTTTATAAAATTGAATTTTTTATACAATATCCGAGCACTTAAAAACAATCACTTTCAAAGATGACTTTTATTCAAGCCTCATCAAATTATTCAATGTTTTTTCATTGCTATCTCAAAGTACTAAGATGCAAGTTTGAATCATATATATTTTTAAAAAATTTTTTAAAATGCTTATCAATTAGCTTAAAGCAAATTTTGAGTAATTTTTGCAGCTCATTATTGCTTGACTACTATTCTAACACTCGTTGTTCATTGAGAAAATAGTTCAAAATCAAAATTGAAAAAATTTTCAAAATGAAAATTTATTACGAATTCAGACATTAAAAATTTTTCATTTAATTTTCGGAAATTGTACTGTAATTTAAAGTTCATTAAACGACAGAATTGTTTGATAGAAACTATTATTTTATAAACTACACCATAAAAAGAAGTCACACGAAAAGTGCAGCAGTTTGTAATAATTAAACTTTTGTAAATACTACTTTTGACTATATTAAAATTTGTAGCTGAATTTCACTTTATGTGAGAAGTTTTTTAGATTTGTAAAGCATTAACAAATAGAATATGTGACTATTCGATTTAAAAGATATTTCCAAAGAAGCAAATGATAATAAATTAGAAATTTTTATGAAAACATACCACAAAATTTGATAAAAAATTAAATTAATAAATGAGAAAAGTTGAAAAAATTGATACTAATATGAATCTTATCAATTAAACAATCAAAAACTAAGATAAAAAGGTTATCAGCTTCAAGGGTCAAGACAGATTAATTTTTTTCAGTTTAATCTACAGTCATCAATCAATTTTAGCTGTTTTTTTTACAATTAGTTTTTTTCCAATTTGTCATAATAAGTAAGGATTCACGAATGCATCAGTATAAGTAAATAAATCAATCACAGAATTAATAATTAATAAATGCAGAAATTGAAATAAATTAATATTGACTTAGAATAACGGAAGTTTTAATCGCTGAATTATTTATTTTTTAATTCGTCGGAAATGAATTGAATGTAATCTAAAATATTTTTAATGAGAAATTTCTGAAAGAAATTTGTTGTGACTGCAAAAATATATTTTTGTTAGTTCAACATTATTGAAATTAACTTTTGTATTATTACATGGAGACAGATGCAAATTACGTAAAAACAGACTTATTGTTTGTTGAACCATTAAAAATAATAAAACCATTAAAAGCAAATAGTATCATTTGTTTTCACATATATTAGTAGTTTTTTGGCCTGATCGAATTAATAAATATTCAATCGTTTGTCATCTTTTGGAATTTAATTTTTTGATTGACACCCTTTATTTGTCCTAAAAACACATAAAACACATTAAATTAGCTGTTATTAAAAAAGTATACGAAATATGCCGTAAAGCATCAATTATTATCAAATATAACTTTGTATAACTTTTAATATTTACACAGCAAAATGTGAGGGTATAATAATAGCAGCTATGTTTAGATAGCAAGCAGTATGTACACTTTATATGAATGAATTTTGCATTTTTATCTCATTAATGTGGAAAAAGAAACAAAAAATGAATATTGAACCAAAAAAAACTTATACAAATGATGATCAAATTATATCTGCTTGTTAGGCAGAAAAAACATTTTTACCTAGCCAAGCTTTATCTCAGTTAATTTATTCTAGCTACATTCAATTCACTGCTGCTAACTTTAGCGTACTTCACACTGGCAAGATTGAAATAAAGAATACTTTTACAGTGGAAGAGAAGAGAAAGGCACATAAGAAAGGGTGGAGTTAAAAGATACTGCTAAAAACAAATAAGCGAGTAAGTAACGCTGTTTTTTAGGCTTTTTTGTAAAACGTAAGTAAGTAAGTGCAATAAAAAGGGAATTGCAAAAAAGCAGTTTTAATACTAAATGTCATATCTGCTTAACAAGTTTTTTACATATTTTGATCAATGAACTCTTTATACGCTCAATATAGCACACATTTATCTGATAACTTTGATATTTGCAGCACAATTTTGAAAACTTCATCACTTAGAGTATTTCAAATTTACTGAAGGGAGTCAAAATTGAAATATCACAATCGTTGACCCTATCAATATTTAACTTTACTATTCCATCACAAACAGCCATTATGAAGATTCAAATACCGTCGTAATATGTTCTTTATTTGAATCAAATACTTTTGTAAAAAAAACAAACAAACAAACCTTGAGGTGCTTGGATAAACATTGTCAGGTATAAAAGTGTTTTCCAAAAAACAAACGCACTTGTCAAGAAAGCAGTTAAATTAGCGTGCTGTGGATAATCCTGACACTACAAATAACATTGTATTGTTTTTGATTAATTTGAAATTTTCAGTTAATTATAAATTTATAGCGCTAATTCAATATCTATGAGTTACATACAATTAATATAGTATTATATATTTGTGATTATATCTGAGATATAATCCATAAGAAAGCAGTCCATCCATAAATTTTAGCATCAGCACTATTCATATTGAATTTAACAGGTTTCAAATTGCTACAGAAATCAAAAATGTTTAACTTTCAGTATGAAATAACTTTGGCTAAATCATTTTGTTATAAACATTTGCTAACAGAAAATTCTATCTCGGAAACACTTATCAGTAATGTAATATCTCAGATTAATGACATGACTTCGATGCCTCTTTTAAGCAAGGTTTTGCATACTCTTTTTATTACTTAATTTCATTACTTCCAATTTATTGTCCAATACTGCTAAGGATATAAGCTTATGCATTCATTCTTGGAATTACTTTCAAAAAAGTACGAGGATATTTTTTTTGCTAACATATTAAAGATCGATTTACAATTTGATCTATAATTTCATATTTTTTGGATATTGATTTTACGTCTTTGGAATATATGTTAATTTCGCTTGTTTTTTTATTCAGTATTACATCACCTTATAAGTAATCATAAACTCGATATCAATTCTTATGCTCGAAAATTTGATCTGATTTTCAAATAAAAAAAGTGACCGCATTTTTAGGATTATTTTCACTAATTTAATTGAAGATTTCAGAAGTAAAAAATTAAAGTATTGAAGAATTGTTTTTCATATTCAAAACAAGCAAAGTATACAAAGTATCAAAAATATATTTTAATCAGTTTCGAAAATAAAATTCAAAACTGCCCTTGAAAAAATGAAAAATTCAAAAACTATACCAAATACAAAGCTGTGATATTCATGATAATTTCTATAATCATTAAGCGTCCTGTAGCCATTGTGACAACATCGTCAGTTGAAGCATATCTTAAATCTACATCACTGTAAATATTCCCTGCAATAATGTCATAACATAATTTTTATTACCAATTTATTACGTAAAGGCTTGATGAAAATTAACTATTACAAAATATTCTATCAAATCAATTTCATTTATTCATTAAAAAATTTTATTCTGATTGTTTCACTATCTATTTCACAGTTTACTTATAGCATATGGCTTTTAATAATTTAACGTAAGATTGATTTTTTTATTTTCATTTCAATTTTTCTGCTTTTGTTTTTTGATTTCTTACTAAAATATGCAAGTTTACTTATAATAACGTTGTATTTTCAATCAAAAACTGGGATATGCATCCTTTTTAAGCTTATTAAATAACCCATTGAATGTTTTAGTCAAAATAATCGCACTCTGAATTCTTTTTCTTGAAATTGAATTTTTTTATTATTTATTATACAATTATAAATTTGAAATTATCAAGCATAATGTTTAACGGATAATATTTAAAACTAAATGCAATTGTGCTCAAATTTTTCATAATTTTCTTTCAATGATTTTAAAGGTCTATCTTTTATTTTTGCAAATTTTTGGAAAAAAATTAAGAGTATATAAAAATTAATGGATGAGACAAAATAATAACAGGCAAAATTTTTGATTATAAAATGTTATTAGAAAAACTAACATAATTCGTAAAAAGTCCCTAAAATATTTCCACGTAGAGTATACGGCCGAAGCATAGTGTATGCTACATCTAAAGCACAAATAACTGTTGAAATTTGAAGCCAAATTTTGATCCATTTAGGCATCGGATTGTTATCATTCATTTTCGCACTGATAACTTTCATAGCTAAATTTCTAATAATGATCAAAACAAAAAATTACAAAAAAACAAACGAAATCAAAATTAATAACAAAAATGCTATTCAATTCAAGAATTACTAAACTATTCATTTCTTAAAATATTTATTGAATATTGAAAATATTTTTGCACAACTTGTATTCGTCAATAATATTAATATGCATTTTTTGAATTTTAAAGTATTTAACATTAAATTTTTTAATAGCATCACAAAATAATTTTGAAAATTTTCATAATATTATTTGAAAAATCAAAAATCAAAAAACATGATAAGTGCTTAATTCAGAAAATCATAACAAGCTAAATGGTTTTAAAAGTTAGTGAACATTTTAGAGTAATTTACTTTGCCATGCAATAATATTTTTTCAGCTTTTTGGATACATAAATGTGCTTTTGAAAAATACTTCTGTAAGAATTAACTTGATAAAATTTGAAATTAACTAAAACACTGAGTAAAATAAGTATTCAAACTGAATACAAGAAATCTTGAAATGAGATAAATTTAAGAAGAAATTAAACTTGCCTTATTTTGCTGCACGTAAGCAGTTAATTTGGTATGTTATGGAGTTGTCTGAGATAGTGTAAATAAATGATAAGAATAAGGTCAAAACGACAATTTCTGCGGCACCAATTCATATAATAAATATCAAAAGAGCGAAATGCAGAGCAGATATCTCTTCCGTTCCTAAAAACGTCTTGAAGAAATGTAAATTCTTGCCAAAATTTTGTTTTGTTGGTTGAACTTTCAATGTCAGCAATGATTTTAATTACAGTCATAAAATGCATAAAATTAAATGCTAAAAAAACAAAGCCATTGATCGAAACAACATGTTTATAAAATGTTAGTTTGATATTATTAAAAGTTTTGCACAAATTAATTAAATTACAAAATAATATCGTTTTGTACTTAAATCAAATTTTTCAATACAATTCATGAATTAAATAATGCAATTTTTATTTATTCAATTTTTGAATGCATAGTTGTTAAATGCTTTCAAATGAAATCACATTTTATCCGATTGAGCTAATTATTTTGTTGTTTTAAATTATGAGATATTCATAGTTATTATCTATCACTATGATAGTATTAATTGTTTTCATATTTTTCATAAAATTATTATCAGTAGTAAACAAATTTGGTTTTGTTGAAAGGAATTTTAGATTGTTCCTAATACGTGTTACCAGTGCATTAGTTAGTGTACATTTGAATAAAAGTTTTTTTCAAATTTTAATTTGAATCAAAATCTGCTTGTGAAATGAAATTTCATTAATACGTTAAGCAGACAGATTTGAAAAAATTAAAGCTTGTGAAAAAATATTACGCCTGTCAGCAGTTTTGTATCAACTTATTTTATGCATTTAAAACTAAAATTTATGCTTAATTTCTCGATTTTTATTTTTCATATTTTTTGTTTCACAAATTTTGTGTGCATCGTACTGCTACTGTGCTTTCAGATAATAGAAAAGCAGAAAAAACTGAGGATGATGTTTCGTTTGTATATGATATGTTAATTTTAAGTGTAAGAAATGAAAATATTATCAAAAAATATTCAAAAAATATTTTGACAAAAAAACTA